CTTCAGGGCAAACCAGCCGGCCCCCACCCATGTATCAGGCCTCTATCCTATCTATTAAGAGTAATATGCAGATTGACCATCACTCCAACACACAAGCTGGCTGCCCCATGTGGTCAAAGATCCTGCCCCCATGTACATACAAGATGGCCACCACAAGATGGCCAGCAGGAGAGGGCAGTTGGGAGGCACCAGGCCTGCAAGGGTGGGCAGTTGGGAGGGACTAGGCCTGCAAGGGAGGCCAATTGAAGACGATCAACCCTACAGGGGAGGGCAGTTAGGGGTGACCAGGCAGGCAGAGGAGGGAAGTTGGGGGCAGTTGGGGGGAGCTGGTGGAGGAGCAGTTAGACATCAATCAGGCTGGCATGGTAGTGGTTACGGGGTGATCAGGCTGGCAGGCAGAAGTGGTTAGGGGCAATCAGGAAGGCAGGCAGGTGAGCAATTGGGAATGAGCAGTCCTGGATTGTGAGAGGGATGTCCGACTGCATGTTTAGGACTGATTCGGGGATTGGGACTAAACAGTCAATCAGACATCCCTCAAGGAGTCCCAGATTGGAGAGGGTGCAGGCTGAGCTGAGAGACAATGAGCCCTCCCCTGCCCCCATGCACGAATTTTGTGCACCAGGCCTCTAGTGATAGATGCCCTGTGCATAACAATTGTGCAATGGTAGGGTCCGTAGTGGCTGCCTGCCAGGGGAAGCCTCCCTTCCCCTGGCCGCTTGCTGCTGCCAGCAGCCATGTTCCACACTGCACCCTGGTGGTCAGCGCATATCTACCTCCTGGTAAGTCAAACTTATGCCCCTAGGGACAACTTGCATATTAACCTTTTATTATATAGGATTAGTAGAGGCCTGATGCATGAATTTGTGCATGGGTGGGGTCTGGCCAGCCAGCCCAATTGGGGCTGATCGGGCCAGGCTGGCAGGGGGGAGGGGCCGTGGCCAGTTGATCAGCTGGCTGTGCCCCCGATTGGGGGGTCTATTGGAGACAGGGCTGGCTGGGGGAAGAGCTGCAAGCAGCTGGCCAGCTGGCTCCCCCCTGGTTGAACTCCTGGTTGAACACCTGGTCGAGGGAACAATTTGCATATTAGCCTTTTATTATATAGGATACTGGGGTCCCAGCCAGTGCAACAAGACAAGATAAATAAAAAGAAAGACAGGAAAGGTGGGGAAAAACAAACCCTGTCATTCAAATGACATAATTAGTCTAAAAAAATTCAGAAATATTAGAATTACAATATGAGTTGAGCAAGTTTATTGCAAAGTCAATATATGAAAATCGTTTTTCTATATAACAGCAATCCTTAGAAAGTGGAGTTTTAAAAAAGATGCTATTTATAATAGTATCAAAATATAAAATATCTAGGAATCCTATATAATAAAAGCATACTATGCAAATTAACTGAATGGTGGAATGACCTGTCACTATGATCCGAACTGACCACCAGGGGGCAGACACTTAAAGCAGGAGCTGCTCCTGGTGGTCAGTAAGATCCCATATGGGGAGTGCCGCTCAGCCAAAAGCTGGGCTCACAGCTGGTGAGCCAGCAGCAGTGGTGGGAGCCTCTCTCGCCTCCACTGCAGGCGGGCGGTAAGGAGCCAGGGGTCCCGGACTGCAAGAAGGATATCTGCCTGCTGGCTTAGGGAGATCACGCCTAAGCCAGCAGGCAGACATCCCTCAAGGGGTTCCGGACTGTGAGAGGGTGCAGACCAGGCTTAGGGACTTCCCCTTACTAGAGGCACGAATCTCATGCACTGGGCCTCTAGTAATCTAATAAAAGAACAAAATCTTTACCAAGAAGATTGTAAAAATACATCCCCTGCCCCATGCATGAAATTCATGCATGAGGCAGGGGATGTCCCTCAGCTGAGCCTGCACCCACTCCAATCTGGGACCCCTTGAGGGATGTCCGACTGCCCATTGGGATCAGGCCTAAACGGGCTATTGGATATCCCTCTCACAATCCAGGACTGCTGGCTCCCAACTGCCCTCCCCTGCAGGCCTGGTCCTCCCAACTACCCTCCCCTGCTGGCCTGATCCCTCCCAATTACCCTCTCCTGCAGGACTGGGTCACCCCCATCTGTTCTCCCATGTAGGCCTGGTCCCCCTCAACTGCTCTCCGCTGCAGTCCTGGTCCCCCAACTGCTCTCCCCTGCAGGCCTGGCCCCCCCAAAAACTGCTGTCCCCTGCTGGCCTGGTCCTCTCCAACTGCCCTCCCCTGAAGGCCTGGGTCCCCCCAACTGCCCTCCCCTGCTGGCCTTGTCTCCCCCAACTGCCCTTCTCTGCCAGCTTGGTCACCCTTAACTGCCCTCCCTGCTTGCCTGATTGCCTACAACTGCCCTCCCCTGCCAGCCTGGTTCCCCACAACTGCCCTCCCCTGCCAGCCTGGTCCCCCCCAAACTGTCCTCCTTTGCTGGCCTGGTCACCCCTAACTTCTCCCAACTGCCCTCCCCTGCAGGCCATCTTGTGTCCACATGGCGGCAACCATCTTGTGTCTGGTGTGATGGTCAATTTGCATATCACCCTTTTATTAGAAAGGAGTAGTGGCCCAGTGCATGGATTCATGCATTGGGTGTGTGTGTGTGTGTGCGTGTGTGTGTGTGAGAGAGAGATCCGTCAGCCTAGCCTGTGCCCTCTCGCAATCTGGGATCCCTTGGGGGATGTCTGACTGCTGGTTTAGGTCTGATCCCCACAGGCCAGGGGATCTAGCCTAAAGCAGCAGTCAGACATCCCCCAAGGGATATAGCAGTGTGCCAAGCGGCAGGCAGCCAGGGAGGAGCTTGAGCTGGGGCTGGGCGCTGTGCCACTCATGCTCATCCTGGCCTGCTGTGCCTGCTGCCGCTGCTTGGTAACAATGCTGTGGAGTTGAGAGAAGCTCCCGCCACTGAAGCTGCGCTCACCAGCCATGAGCCTGGCTTCTGGTTGAGCGGTGCTCTCCCTATGGGTGCACATGGATCACCAGGGGGCAGCTCCTGTGTTGAGCATCTGTCCCCTGGTGTTCAGTGCACATTCTAGTGACTGGTCAACCAGTCATCCCGGTCATTTGGCATAATGGTTGCTTAGGCTTTTATATATATAGATTATTGGTAGAATTAAAGAAGATATGCCATATTCATGGGTTGAAAGAGTCAATGTTATAAAGATGTCAGTTATCTCCACATTGATTGATATATATTTAATATAATTCCAATCAAAACTCAGTTGAAAAATACCAAGTGGTTTCTAAAATTTATATGTAAATGAAAAAGAGAAGAAAGACCTTAAGTCTTCTTAAAGAATATCACTGAGGTAGGAAGACTTATTCTACCAGATTCAAAACTTTTGATGCTTTATAAGAAAGATAGTATGGTACCAGAGCAAGGATATATAAATAGTTCAATGGAACAGTACAGAGTCCAGAAAGAGACTCATAGGTACATAGATACCATATGTGACAAAGAAGGTAGCAGAGTACTTAAGAAAAGACGCCCCTTTTAATAAACAGTGCATGTCAACAGCATATTCATATAAGAAAAAATATTCATCTTTATCTCCATATAGAAAAGTTAATTCCAGGTGGTTTCTAGATCCTAATGTAAAAGAAAAAACAATAAAACTTTAGAAGACACTATAGGAGAAATCTTCATGGCCTCAAGATAGTGAAAGTTTTTTAAACAGGCCACAAAAAGTATTAATCATAAATAAAAAAAACTGATAAATTGGACTATAATACGAAATGAACTTTTGTCCATCAAAAGATACCTTTATAATAGTGAAAAAGCAAGTCAGAGTAAAAAAATCTGCAATGAATATAAAGAACTCCTATAAAAATTAAGAAAAATCCAGAAAATCAGAAGAAAAGTGAGACCTGATCAGGTACTTCACAACAGGAGATAACTAGATGGCCAGTAAACATTTGAAAAAGTACTCAATCTTATGAGCCAGCGGTTGCCAACCTTTTGAACCTCATGGACCACAGTGGTCCACGGACCGCCGGTTGGGAACCACTGTTATAAGTCATTAAGGAAATGCAAGGTAAATGAGACATCATTATATACCTATCAGAATGCTTAAAAATAAGTGAAAATACAGATATACAAACATAAGTACTGATAATACTATTGATTGGAATGAAAATGGGTACAATCACTGTGGAAAACTGTTTGACATCACCTATTAAAACTCAGTATGCAACCCAAGTGCCCATCAGTAGGTGAGTGGATAAAAAAGCTGAGGTACATTTATACCAAGGGATACTCTGCAGCAGTAAAAAAGAAGAATCTTACCCTTTGAGATAGCATGGAGGGACCTGGAGAGTATCATGCTAAGTAAAGTGAAAGACAAGTATCACATGATCGCACTCATTTGTGGAATCTAAGTAACAAAATAAACTGATGAACAGAGTGGATCCAGACATGGAAGCATGGAACAGTGCAGAATCTCAGAGGGAACGTGGGGGAGGGTGGGAAGTTAGGGGAGGGTGGGTGGGTGGGAGGTAATCAATCAAAGACCTTGAATGCATGTATGCATAACACATGGACACAGACAACAAAAGTGCTGAAGGCCTGGAGGGGGGTGGCTGGAGGGGGTCAATGGGGGAAAAAGGAGGACATGTCATGTTTTCAACAAGAAAGAATTATTAAATAAAATTTTTTTTCATAAAAAACAACACTCAGTATGTGCACACTCTATGAACCTGCAATTCCACTCCTAGTTATGTAGCCAACAGAAAAAATGTATAGGTAAACAAAGAGACATGCACAAAAATGTCACAGTAACATTAATCACAATTCTGCAAACTGGAAATAATTTAACTATCAACTGTAGAATGGACAACTTAATTGAGCTCTACACTTAAAAGTTCGGTGCACTTTCCACATGTGATATACTTCAATTAAAATTTTTAAAAAATATTAATGGAAATATAAAATAAAATAAAAACATATTTTAAACATCATCACTTTCCTATTGAGAATATAAGTAGGGTTAGCTTCACTCAACTCATATTTCAAAACATAGCTCACCTGCGCCCTCAGAACGGTCATGGTTTCCAGATCTTCCTCCTGCTTGGCGATGGTCTGCTTCATCTCATCCATTTGCAATTGCTTGGAAGCCAGCGCCTTCTCTGCCAGTTCGAACTTTTCATTTAGCTCCTGCAGCACCTCCTTATCTACTTTTTCTGACTGTAAAAGACAAGTTTATTCTAGAAATAGTTTTCAAACAATCCAATCTATTTTAGTAAAAGACTAGCTAAAGGATTATTTTATTTTTTTAACGATTGGCTCTACGCGGTTTTGTTAATTAGCAATGATAACTTACTTGGATATTCATTTAACTTATGGCTTACAAATAATAATTTTCTAATTTAAAACAATAAAAAAAAGACTAAAATAAGGAAAATTATAACTAACCTCCATCTCAATGAAGTTGTAACTTGCTAATATTGCTACTTTTTCATTCACATTATTCTTACTTTGTAAAGTCAGTGGAAAGATGAAAAATGTTTACATTAAAAATGTATACCCTAGACTTAGCCGGTTTGACTCAGTGCATAGAGCATCGGACTGTGGACTGAATGGTCCCGGGTTCGATTCCAGTCAAGGGCACATGCCTAGGTTGTGGGCTCGATCCCCAGTAGGGGGCATTCGATCAATGATTCTCTCTCATCATCAATGTCTCTATCTCTCCCTCTCTGAAATCAATAAGAATATATATATTTAAAATGTAATAGGTCCTAGAGAGGAACAATAATCTATTAAAAAATAAATGAAAAACAAAAAGTATATTTATAAGGATATAAGCTCAAAGACTCCATCTAATTCAAAGCTTCCGTCATCTTTATTTATTCCAGTTTTATTGAGGTAAAATGGAAAAATAAAATTATAAAATTATAAGATATTTAAATTGTACAATGTGATGAATTGATGTATGTATACATTGTGAAAGGACTCCTCCCATTAGGTTAATTAACACATTTGTCACCTCACATACCTATCCATGGTGATAAAATGATCACATCATGCTGGGCATTATTACTAATTTAAGTTGCAGCCCCGTAAGTCCATGGTCTTAGGTTCACTGATAGCAGACAGGCTAGCCTTGTAAAAGTTCCACTCAGTAGATGTCCTCTCTAGCCCCAGCCGGCAATCTCACTGTGCACTACTCACAGAGGAGCCCACCCTCTCAGCCTCCTACAAACCCACCCACTGTGAGAAATGCTAAAGGTTTACTCCCTGACTATGGGACATTAGCACCACCTTCGTACACAAAGCATGTTACACAGGCATACCTCATTTTATTGTACTTGGACTTTATTGTGCTTTGCAGCTACTGTGTTTATTACAAATTTGCCCTCCACCAGCAAAGAGATTAAACTTGCCACAGGCTCAGTTGATGGTTAGCATTTTTATCAATAATTTTTAAAAATTAAGATATGTACATTTTTTTTCCCCACCAAAACCGGTTTGGCTCAGGGGATAGAGCATAGGCCTGTGGACTAGAAGGTCCCAGATTCGATTCCGGTCAAGGGCATGTACCTTGGTTGCGGGCACATCCCCAGTGGGGAGTGTGCAAGAGGCAGCTGATGGATGATTCTCTCTCATCGATGTTTCTAACTCTCTATCCCTCTCTCTTCCTCTCTGTGAAAAATCAATGAAATATATATATTTTTTAAAAAAATGTACATTTTTTAGACACAAAACTATTGTACTCTTAATAAACTATAGTGTAGTGAAACATAATTTCTATATACGCTCAGAAACAAAAAAATTCAAGTGACTTGCTTTATTGCAGTGGTCTGGAACTAAACCCGCAATATCTCTAAGGTATGCCTATACATACATGGAACATCAGAAGTTATAAGCACTTAAGACACAAGAAATCCTACCCTATATAAAAGTGCAATATGTAAATCGACCGAACCATAGAATGACTGGTCATTATAATACACACTGACCACCAGGGGGCAGACGCTTAACACAGGAGCTACTCCCTGATGGTCAGTGCACTCCCACAAGGGGAGCGCTGCTCAGCCAGAGCCAGGCTCATGGCTGGCAAGTGCAGGCAGGCAGTAAGGAGTGAGGGGTCCGGATTGTGTGAGCCCTGGACTGTGAGAGGGATGTCCTAGACTATGAGGACTCAGGCTGAGCTGAGGGCCCCCCACTCTGTGCACAAATCTTGTGCACCAGACCTCTAGTCAATTATAAACTGAAAAATAACCTTTGAAACCAGACTAGGTTAAGATCAGTGCAACTACTATACATATAAAATGTTCAATAGTTTCCATCCCTTACTAGGCTAGCTAGTAAAGTAATTTTTTTCTATGAGTACCTCTTTCCGTTTTAATTCTTCAACTGTTTTCAATGCATTACTGAATTCTTGAAGAAGTTTGTTGTATGTCAGCTGCAATGTGGCTAATTTGGACCTGTTTAAAAAGAAATCGAGAAATGGAATCTTGGGGGAAAATATCATGGAAACTTACATTCTTGTCTCCCAACTTTCTGAACACTCAAGGAGCAAAATCATTTTTCCTACTTAAAAAAAAAAAAAAAAAAAAAAAAAAGGTTATTTATTTATTTATTTATTTATTTATTTTTTAGAGAGAGAAACATTGATTGGGTTGTCTGGGGACCAAGCCCACAACCTGGCCATGTGCCCTGACTAGGAATCAAATTGGCGACTTTCAGTGTATGGGACAATGCTCAACCAATTGAGCCACACCAGCCAGGGCTCTTTTCTCCTACTTTTACCATCCCACTACCTTCAAGCATTTTCTTACTCTCAAAGAATTTTCTCCCCCCAAAAATCAAAATAAGATTACAAGTAATTTTTATGTTTGTTATAAAACTTCTATTTTATCACCTCAGAAAAAAAAAAGTCTCCTAGTACTCCTTCAAATAAAAGAAAAAAATGTAAATGTATTTTCAAATCCTAATTTCAATCTGTATAAAAGAGCTATTCTATCTTCTTTGTGCAACTAGCCATTCAATCACAGCATACTCACTTTTCCTCTTCTGTTTTTGCTTGCTCCATTTTGATTTCTGATCGCATGCTTTCCACTTGTAGCTCTAACATTTTGTTATTATAAACAAGCTCTTGTTTTTCATTCAGCTCTGATGGGGTTGCAGAATTTTTCCTTTCAAGGGCCTGACATCTAAGCAAGATAAAAATAACATGAATATATACAATTCTTCTTCGTTCTCTGTGGTTTTTAAACAAATCCAAAGATTATGTAGCAAATACAAAGGATTTTGGGATTGCGTTTTTCAAGGATTTAACAGTACAAAATAAAATATTCTATCCTCCTTACTTTTTCACTAGAAGCAAGTAGTTTTTCTGAATCCCTGTGCCTCCACATAAAAAAAAAAGTTTTTTTTGTAAAATAAAAAAGTACACATTTTTGAACCCTTATGCCTAACATAAAAAAGCATACATGTGTTGAAACCGGTTTGGCTCAGTGGATAGAGCTTCAGCCTGTGGACCAAAAGGTGCCGGGTTTGATTCCGGTCAAGGGCATGTACCTTGGCTGCGGACACATCCTCAGTAGGAGGTGTGCAGGAGGCAGCTGATCAATCTTTCTCTCTCGATGTTTCTAACTATCTATCCCTCTCCCTTCCTCTCTGTATGTGTTCTGCTAAGCACAAAGACTATGACTTCTGACAAAGGTTCAACAGGGGAAAGGAAGTCATCTTTAAGATAAAAAAAAAAAGAATTTCAGTGTAATAATAGCAAATATGAACCAGTGATAGTTATGTGTAAGGCATCAATGCCAAGCATGTTAAACATGATCTCACTTCATACATTATGATGTAGAAATTATGACACAAATTTTACAAACAATAAAACTGAGGCTCAGAGAGGTTAAATAAATAACTTGCCCAAGATTAATACCACAAATAAATTGTAGATCCATATTTCAACCTAGGTCTGTTTGGCCAAATTCTTAGCTGTGACCGCCATGTTGGAAATTACAGCCTTGGAAAATGTAATTCGAAGCAAACCTGTTTGTATGTTATGCTGGGAATATTTCTAAACAAATCTCACTCAAGTTCTTTTCGATATTTGCAGCTTTCTTTTATGTTTGTTCACATGTCAGCTCATGTAAGTCACAAAAGGTCCACTTCACTGCTTTCTACATGTCCTCAGATAGGCTAGTATGCTTAACAAATATCCCCAAACAGCAGAATCAGAGTCCCCAGGGCCCCATTCCCTCATTTCACTATAAGTATTTCATGTTTATATATTAACCTGAACATTAGTGTTTTCTAATTCCTATTTAATTAATTAGATCTCTATTTTTGTTTTGGTCAGAAACACAGTAACAAAACTATGTTTTTATACAGTAATATATTTTATAAAAATGTATATTTTTTGAAGGAAGATAAAATTCATCTCTCATTCTTACTTTTCTTGAAGTCTCTTCTTCATTAGCTCAGCTTCACTGAGTTTCATATGAGCCTCCTGAAGCTCCTTAAACAGGTTTGTCACCTGAAGGTTCAAGGCTTCCACTTCACTTCCAACCTGTCGTACAGGAAATCCCAACAATAATTTGCATCACAGATTAAAAGTACCTCTTTGTGGGGAAACAGTGTGAACCATTAGTGTCCAGTAAATACTGACTGGTGATAGGATTAAACTTTTTGACAATGTATGCCCCAAATATCTTGTATTAAAAAAAAAGTTTCGGATACAACTGTTCTCTCATAGAGTGTTAATAGAGCAATTGGGATGTACTTGTGATAATAACTTTGCCATAATTAAAATTAATTCTGATCATAGTTCAGGGAATCACAGATCACAGTGGTGTCAAAGCACAATCTAATTTATCCAGTTAGCAACTCAAACCCATATTCCTGTCTGGTTTACCACTCAGCTCTTTTCTCTCAGCTCTGTAGTCCCTTTCTCCTGGAAGCTCTAGAATGTTCGTCAGTGACTTTTATGGTGCCTTGGAAGTCTCAGTACTTCTTTATCTATTATTGATTGTTGAATAGTTTTAGTCAACAGGGTACTATTACTCACAGGTTGTCTCTTCATCTCAGTTTTTTAAATGTTCTACATTTTCTAGAAAGTAGGGTGTCTTTCAATATGTATTTGTTAAACGAATTAGCTAAATTGTATAGGCTATTGTGGCTCTTACAACTTCCTGGTTTCATCAACATTACCTAGGTTTTCAGACTCCAAAACAGTCAATGAATAGCCAATGAACAATGAATTTTTCTCATTGAAACTATTTTACTCAAACCAGTAGCGGGATAGAACCGATATCTTTCACTTCTATTCAAGTTTCTGAGCCATATCCTCAAATGATCTTATTATAAAGTAGCCAGCATTCCGTTCTCATCTACAAGGCCTTTTCACTCAGGAATTCAGGAAAGGAAATCAGTCAAGAGGAAGAAGAGTGAATACATCTTACTACAATTTACAATGAATGAAATTTAAATCAGGACAAGGAAATATGACAGAAAAAGAAGATATTCAATGTTAAAATTAGTTCTAAATTTCTGAAGCTAATAACACATCACAAGACTCAACTCCAGGTTCTGTACTACTGTTATGTCCATTATGGATATGAGAAGAATTTTACAAATGTAGTACCCACAGTTTCTGTGTCTTTCTCCTCTTCATCCTCTTTTTCTGTGTTCTCCTCTGTCTGAGTCTCTATCTCAGAACGATTATTGGCTTTCTTTTCAAAATCTGAAATTCTAAAAAAATTACAGAATATAGAAAAATTACTTTATCTTTTATTTCAAAAGGAATAACAATTGCAAAAGCACCAAAAAGAACACTGTTCAAATTTTGGATAAAGGATTAGGGGTTTTAAAAAATCTTTTTGCATTCAATGTATTATCCTTGGTTTAGCTTTCATCCTAAAATTGGCTAGAACTGATTGAAGAGATGAATGCACACAGAGGTAAAAGGTATAATTCACCCTGAAGACTGAAAAACACCGCCTCTTTCATGTCACTGACATAAACACAAATATTTTTAAAATTTGTGTGTATACACATGTGCATGCTTATATGTTACATGAGTGTGTATGTCCTTTAGAAGCATTTAGCAGAGAAGGAAATACTTTTTTTTTCTCGACCCATCTAAGTTTACAAGTCCCTAAAAACAAATAAATGTAGCAACATTCTTCCACTGAATCATAATCAATGAAAGCCTCAGTAAAAATGAAAGAGATTTGTGGCTAATGATGTAGATTGATTATATGCAATTTTCTCCCTACCCCAAATGACTTAAAAAGCCATATATAATACTACAAAAGCAAAGAGAAAGAAAGAAGAAATAATAAGATTTGGGAAGCATAGATGTTCAGTGGGAAGTGACTTGGCAGCCCCAAAAGTCTGGATCTGAAGAGAACACAGCCAAGATGTAACTCAATTTGAACCCAAAAGGCTCAGGGGTTGGTGACAATAGGTTCCTCGGGATAAAGGAAGAGTATGTTTAAGGAGGACTAGAAGATAACAAAATAAAGGTACCTTTCATTAGTCAAAGTTGAGGGCTAGGATTTCCTGCTGCAAACCAGGGAGCTTACACACAGAATACTGAGAACCTCAGTCTTCCACTAATCTCAAGAATCCTGGTCTCTAGAAAAGTACCCTCCAGGAAGGAAACTGGAAGTTTCCTCTGGAGTATGTGACCAGGAGGATGGAGAAGATTTAATGTTTCTGACATGGGGTTCCTAAGGAAATCTCCAAGCCAGATCTCCCTACATGTGACACAGTTAGTTGTTAGCTTCTAATTCCCCCTCTTACATGTGATCAGACACTTGAGGAAAATCTTAAACGGAAACAGAAAAAAGTAAATAACAACAAAAGCAATTTACTGAAATTAGAATATGCTGGAGTGAGGGTTGGAACTTCCAAAAAACTATCATTGATATCCTTAAAGATACAGGAGATATTACAACCAAAACAAAATGCAACATTATAAAAAATGAACATTCAAAGGACCCCACCCTTCCTCCAAAAAGGAAGACAAAAGTTGATCAAATATATCAGAAAGGAGAAGAAAGAGAGAAAGCAGAGAAAGAGAGTTAAGAAAATCAGAGGATTTGACCAGGAGGTCCAATTCATAATGAGTAGTGTTAGAGAGAACAGGGAAAAAATGAGGATAAGAGATATACCTAAATTAATTCAAGACAGTTTTTTTTTTTTTAAGAACTGAAGGACACAAGTTTGTAAAATAAAAGCCCAAGTATCCAGAACAAGTGCATGAAAAGGGGGCTCATACCAAAGCACATGAGAAATTCCATTCCAGAAGATTAAGAATCGAATTATAATGGATTTCTTAACAGTAAGTAATATCAGAAGTTATAATACAACTAAGTAATGCATTCAAAATTCAGGAAAATTATGTCCAACATAGAATTTTATATCTAGCCTAACTGTCCATAAAGTATGAAAATAGAGAAATTTTCAGATATGCAGATCTTAAATAGAAAATATACTCACTATATATATATATATTTTTTAAATTTATTTTTTATTTTTTTATTTTTATTTTTTTTAATTTTTATTATTATTATTATTTTTTTTAGTAAATTAGAGATGTCATGAGCCCATAAGAAAAACACTGGATTCAGGGAACAGGTGATCTAACACAGGAGAGCTGAAGGAATTCCACAGGATGATGGGAAAGGTATATAAGATAACTGATATACAGCAGGTCCAAGAAAGCAACCAGACCAGACACCAGGAATAAAGTTGTCAAGAAGAAACTACTACTGGATAGTACTAACCTGTCTGAATTAATTGACAGATTTCCCCATTTGGAAAGGGGGAAAATAAGCAAAAATTTGAAAGGTAATTATGCATACTAGTAAAAAAAAAATACACACACACACACACACACACACACACACATACACAGAGGAAAGCTGGTCAAGACATAGAGCTCAGCTTAACTGAGAACTGTGTGTATATGCATAATAAAAACACTGATTTGTGATTTAACTAAGTTTCAATGTATTATAATCAATCAGAGTTGGGCTAGGAGGGGAAGAAGGGTCCAGAAGCATATGCGTATACTGGTGACGATGGGGGTGAAAGAAAGTTAAAATCTTCATTCTTCACAGTGAGAGGCCAATAGATTATGTTTAATAAAGAGGGAAACTTTTAGGTAGCCATTTAAGCCTGATATATCAAAGAAGGTAAATATGTTGAAAATGTTTGTCTGGGAAGCAGGAAAAGGAAGCAAGGGGTTTGGTCAAGGAGCTGCTATTTTCCCACAAGAAACTATGTAACAACCAATTCTTTAAACTATATTAATGCAAAATTGATTTTTAAAAAAATGAACTTAATGGTAATAAAAAATAAAACAAACAATATTGGTATCTGTTGCAAATTGCCAAACCTAATTCATGCACAGACACTGTTCCCAGCTAAACAGATAAGGGTTAAGAGCTAATTGGAGCAGGGTTGAAGGAGAGCCTTTATCATACCATTCACGTATACTTCGGCAGCATTTTGACCTACATTTGAATCACAGCTTATCTTAATTTTCTAGGGCAAATTTTCCATCTTGGGCTGACTTTCTCCTGCTACTTCTCAATTCTTGTGGGCCACACTTCCTACACATTTACCCTTTCTTTACTGGCTGTCAGTTTAAGTTTGCTTAGAAAACAAAAATTAACTTATTAATGTTGGTAAATAATGAAAGAAAAACATAGTTACTGTCCCTCCTGCCCAAAAAATCACCTAAAATTTTTCAAAATAAATTTTAGCTGTGTATATCCCTGTTTTTAGTGATGAATGAAAATGGTTAAGACTGGCTTATTTATTTGAGAAAAAAGACTATCCTATCCTATCCTATCCTATCCTATATAATGTGTAAATCAAGCCAGGTTATTAAAGTATCAGTGATTTATTTCTAGATTTCATTCCTACCTTAGCTAGGGAGAATCATCATACTGATATCCACATAGAAAATATTAATGCTGGCAACTAATCACTGAGTTTCTAATTGTTAAATACAGAGGGAAGGCTGGCTCACAAAGTATAATTTTAATCCAATTGAAAAAGACTCTTTACTGGTAAAACATCATCTCAAAGCAGGTCTGACTTCCTAGCTACCATCTGAAGAGCTATGCCTCTTAGCCTCCAGATATAAAGCTTTAATTATTTTGAAAGTAGGAAAAGTAGGAAATACACACACATACATACATATATATGTATATTAAAGGTCCAGTGCACGAATATGTGCACGGGTGGGGTCTGGCCAGCCTGGCCCCAATAGGGGCAGATCAGGGCTGGGCCTGTCAGGAGGAGGAGATGGTGGAAGATTGGCTGGCTGGCCTGCCCTGATAAAGGCCACTCAGGGCCAGGCTGGCTGGAGGAAGGGGCTGCAGACAATTGGATGGCATGCTCACTCCCAATTGGGGTTGAGGGGCTGATTGGTGGAGGGGCTGGACATGGGGAGGGGTTGTGGGCGGTGGGCCAGCCAGCCCTGCTCCCAAATGGGGTAGGGAGGTGTGGTCAGGGGTGGGCCAGCTGGGGAGAGGGGCTGTCAGCCTATTGTGGTGGGGTGAGCTGGTTGGGGGCGGGGCTGGAAAGGGGGAGGAGGAAGGCAGTGTTTGGCCAGCCAGCCAGCCAGCTCTTGATTGGGTGGGAGAGTCCAATCAGGGGCAGGCCAGCAAAGGGGAGGGGCTGTGAGACTGGTTGGTCAGCTCCACCCCGATTGGGTGGTTCACTGGCTACAGTGGGCGTCATTGTGACTGGCCTTTACAGTTGCTGGCTTTATATATATATGGAAAAAATCAGGGTGTATAATTAGCATGCTCCTACGTTTACTTTTTGTTGTTAATCTTCACCAAAGATATTTTTCTATTGCTTTTAAGAGAAAGAGAGGAAGGGAGGGAGAGGGTGTGGAGGTTGGGGGAGAGAGAGGGGGAGGGAGAGAGAGAGAGAGAGAAACATGGATGTGAGAGAGATACATCAACTGGTTGCTTCCCATATGCACCCTGACTGGGGCCAGGGATCCAACTGGCAACCCAAGTATGTACTCTTAACCAGGAATCAAACCTGGGACCCTTTGGTGTATGGGCCAACATACTAACCACTAAGCCACACCGACCAGGGCCTACGTTTACACTTTTATTATTAAAGCTAATCATATTGTCTAAGTAAGGATGAATTACTGGCTAGACTTGACACTTAGAATGGTGTACAGAACTTAGGAGAGGAAACATGCCTGAAATAAATTAACACACTGATTACTCATAACTATCAAAGCACTAGAGGCCTGGTGCATGAAATTTGTGCATGGGTAGGGTCCCTAGGCCTGGCTGGTAATCAGGGCTGATCTGAGGGGTGACTGGTGGGACAATCGAGGGGGCCCCCACTGGCACCTGCTTTGGCTGGCCTGGGGCCTGCAGGCTGGGGGAAGCTCCTGTGTTGAACGTCTGCCCCTGGGTGGTCGGTGCATGTCATATTGACCTTTTGTTCCACCAGTTGTTCTGTCAATTTGCATATTAGGCTTTTATTATATAGGATAATATTTTACATTTAAAATCAGCTATAATAAGATGGCAGAACAGGTAAATGCAATACTCACATCCTCCCACAACCACAGAATAACCATCATTCAGAATGGCATGAAATCTAGAAGTCCTATAATTAAGGATATAAAGAAGTCACATTGAGATTGGTAGGAGGGGTGGAATGCAGCATTGGCTGGTGCCATTCCCACATGTCGCAGA